TTAGTATATAATATAGTATATTAAACGTGATATATATTCTTGACTCTGATATATTTTTATTTATAGATCAACTTATTCATTAAAAAACCTGTTTATAGTAATTATGAATTTAAATGCCAAATATTCCACTAATTTAAATTGATTGTTCGCTATAAAACATTGTTTATAAGGTATTATTCAGGATATATTTGTAAAGTCAGATTTTATATTTAGTGTACAAATTATATCAGTACAGGTGCAACAGAACTGCATTGTATATCTTAATAAACACTTTTCAGTTTGATAATGAATTCAAGTACAAGATTTTTACTACATAATGTACTATATATCATTACCTTGGAATAAAAATGAGGATAACTGATCAAATGTATAATTTCATAAAATATCTATTATGAAATATTGTGAGCATCATAAAACAAAATTTTTTTATATGTTGTAAGTTGAAAAAATTATTTGGGTATTTATAGCTTTACTAATTTATTTTTTGTAACCCCTGCATCGGAATCAAATATCTCTTGATGCTTATCAAAATTTAACAAAACTAAAGTTGTTAATGAGTGTGTATTATGATGCGCTTGATTATACTCATTGCTGTAGATATAACATTAATACTCTCTGAGATATTTGGAGGACAAAAATGTTTGAAATCATGAATTTATATAAAATATTACAAGATATTAATGAATTTATATTAAGATATGCAAAAACATAATAACAAATTAATTCTTAGTTCTATTGTTTTTTAATGTTTTTCGTTTATAAGCTGATTTTTGGATTTATTAATTGATTTTTCTGCAAGAAAAAATGTTATATTTTATGAAGGCAACTCAATTAGATATTCACTATTTAGACGCAATACAGAAAAATATTGTAATACTTTTTTTTAATTACAGAAATTATTCATAAAAACGATGAATTTACTAACATACAAATATAATATAATTATAACAATTTTTTACGCTTACATTAAATGAATTCATTAATTATATCAATAAGTTCAATGAAAAACTTCATTTTTATCTCCAAATTATCCGAAGAGCAGCTGTATAAAATTGTACATGATATGGCATCTGTAACATGAGGAAAATTTTAATGCAGAAATATGTTAAATGACTTTTATGAAATAACACGCAAATATTGTACCAGTAAAGTAAAGTTATTAATATTAATAATAGGGTACAATTTTTATTGACTTTGGACATAATAGATAGATAAGCAAAAAATATGTAGAATTATATTACTTATGAATTACATTATTTGTGAATAAACATAATACTACATATTTCTCTGACTGTCGTTTGTATGTTATATTACAATCAAATGTTAGTGTAAATTTCATTTTCAATCATCAACTCTTAACTCATGAATTAGAAGAACTGGCATTTCTCATTAATGATAGTTACATAATTATTATTTTGAAATTAATAAAATAGAAACAAACAGAAATTTTGACAGTGAAAAGCATTCTTTTAAAGCTACATTACATGTGTATTGTAAAAACTTGATATAAAAATCTTATTACAAAGTACCTGGTAGATACAATCGAATTGTTCGGTTGGAAGCCACAAGGAATTTACTAATATTGTTGCACAATATGTGTTATGTGTCAATTTGGCTATGTTGGTTTAAAGTTTAAATGACAACTTTGTCATGACTTTCATCAAATATGAAATAATTTGCTTAAATTTAAAATGAACCTTAATTTTTAAATAATTCTTTATTGACGTATAAAATATTTTTCTGTTTGGATTATGAATAAAAGTTTCATGAATAATTATTTAATAAAAAATGATGCATTATATGCTCTTTTCTAATATGTTTCTTAATTTGCTTGCATTCATAGTAAAATCCTTGCCTATTTACGAATTAATTTTTCGTGCATCAATTATTTTGATCATATCAAATATTAATTCAATCATAGATATGTAAGTACAATGAAATGCTCTGTTTTATATACAATTTCTATTGCGCTTTAATGCTAGGTAGAAGAATTAGAAATTTCTAATAAGTTAAATAATTGAAAAAACTTTACTTGTTGAATAACTGACATTCTGAATTAATGTATAATGCAATTAAATGCATCTTTCATTTAGTCATATTAAAGACTGGTAAATATTACAATATTCAATGTTACATGCTTTGAAGTATTGTGGGAGTTTAGAAGCGTTTATTCTGCTTGTTCTTTAACTCAGGAGAAGACATTATTGTAATTAAATGTAGTGCTTACTTAGTTTGCAATAATTTAAAAAAAATGTAAATGTGTAGTTAATAATATTATATGCAAGTGACATATTTGTAAAAAGTATAAGAAATTATAAATAATAATAATGGAATGTTATGCATGTACTTTATCTGCTCTCAAAATGACTTTTCCTGAGTTAAATATCTTAAGAATAAACAAATAGATTGACTATTAAAGACCTTTTAAACACCCATTAAACAACCAAGAATTATTCAGGCTAAGATTTTGATGAAGTTAACAAGTTTTTTTATGAAATATAAAAATTTCCTCTTACTTGTTCTGCACGATCATTTATTACTTTATATGCACACATATATAACTATAAGCTAACGTTTATAAACATTATAAGTGATACAGTTTGGTTATAAAATAGCTTATGTAAAAATTGACACACAATGCAAGTAATATAAACACACATTAATCAAAGATATCACAGTTAATATAGGCATCTCGTAGATTGTAAAAAAAATGGGAATGAATGTACATTGTGCATAAAAAGGCCTAATAATATTCTGACAATTCTTTACAATTTCTAGTCATTAACAGAACAAGCAAGAGGATAATGACCTTTTTTTAGCAGATTTGAATAGTGCCAAAAGGGAGTATACACATAAAATTGCATATGTTTATATATTTATTTGTACTTAAGTAATACATACACAAGAATCAGGAGCATGTACTTTCATAATCTTTATTATACATTGTTGACATAAACGGTAGTAAATCTCCGATTATTAATACTGCCATTACAATCTGATTATATAAAGAATTACTATAATTGCTGAACAGTTAATATAATAGTATTTATGTGCATGCATAAGTTCACAATATGTTTAAATTTTTATATAAATTCTCATCTTTTTCTTTAAAATAAAATACATGAAAATTGTGATTAGATATGGAATTTGGAAAAATCTTAAATTATACAAGAAAATTAATGTCATTAGTTAAGTTTTATTTAAAAAATTAGAGTTATAACGAATATTTGGACTTCTACATATCGAATAGTAGATAGCTATGTTAATTATAAAGTCATTATCTTGTATTTTTTTAGAATCAGTCAAGTGTGAATAAGTTATTGAAACTCATTATTACTGTTTTGTAAAATAGTATCGACTATTATAGAAAACTATAGTTTTTTCAAGTAAAGAGAAAAACTATCTATAAAATTTGGTTCCTTTATGTTTTCCTACAAAATGTTTAAAAACAACTATATTCATTCTTTTCTAAAAATTTGCACTTATTTAAAATTTCATTGATTTTAGTCATTTACAATAGAAAAATAATATTATCGAATAAGTTAATATATTTACAAATTTATAAGGAACATTATCAGCATACATATATAATTGTATTAAATTCTATAAATAATCCTAACATTAGTTCACGATTCTTAATAGTACCTTAAAAGCATTCCAGTCAATATTACATCGGTATGCGTCGAAAATGAATAAAATTTTAATCCGAGACAATTTTTGTATATTTTATGTAAAATTTCTCTATTTTTTATTAATATTCACGATCGAATACAAAAAAAGTGGGGTTGTATAATTTTTAATATTTGATGAACATACATAAATGTATAGATAATATACAATGGATAATTACTGCATTGTTATCGATAAACGAAATTTATATTAAAATAAATAATAAGAGATTTATAAAATTGGTCTAATAATTTGTTGATAAGATATTGTAATACTTTTTCACCATGATTTTAAATGATATGTAATAGGACCCCACCAAAATAAATTAAAAATATAATATAATGCTTTCAGGTACTTTTGTTATTATTCACTAAAGATATATAAAGTATTTAAATAATTTATTATATTATTTCCATAAAATTATTAGATCAAATTTTAAATTAACTCATGTATAATGTTGAAATTAATTACATATACAAACGTTCGCGTGTATTCTGTAATCAGTTTACTGTATACCTATTGTACATAAGATTTAGTAATATGTAAACGAATTAAGGCTACTAATATAAAAATAATTACTTATTTATCAATAGAAGTAATATGATTTATAGCAATAGAATGTTCCTACGCACACTGAATGTAACTGTCTTCAAGATGATAACATGTTCAGCTATAAGACCTATGTTATAACCACCTGATCAGAGATATTTCAGTACAAAAAATTTAGAAATCAAGTTTACTTGATTTTAATATAATGTGTTTGTGTCTGAATGTAAAATTGTGAATTATCTATAAAAAAAAATGAAAATATCAATTAATTCAACTAGCATTTATATGTTTTTATATATTTCTTTTTCGTGTAAAATATAGAATATATGTATAAGCTTTAATATTTACTAAAGATTATAATTTTGGTTTATTATGTTTAAAAATTATATTAAATAAAATTAAAATTTAAATTCTCTCCATTAATTTATAAAAATTAATTATAGGTAGAAACATATTAAGAAGATATGTAATATTATAAACATGGATATTTTATTTATATATACATATACAAACATACACAGTTTATTATTTACGAATAATGCTGTTAAAATGGTATGAGGCAGATATGTTTCAAGCAACTTATTTTATCTCTTTGTAAAATGTAAAGATACAGTACTCATAGTATTGTTTTATTCATGAAAAAAACTTTTAACAAATTCTATTGGAGCGTATCAATTTTATATGATGACAAAAAATATAAAACATAACAATATTCAAGAATATTACACCATTTCTGCAAAAATTATAATTCCTTCAATAGTGGGACTTATATAATTGTTATTTTTTTTTTTTATCATTATTATCATTGCTTTCTATTTATATTAATACTTATCATACCTTTAAAATATGCTATAGGGAACGTATCACTGCGCAAAGAAATGTACAGTGATATATATGTCATTATAATAGATTTTATTTGAATACACTGTATGCTGTCACATACTAAGAAATACATGAAGCAAGTAAAAAAATGTGATTATTGCGATTCATAAGCGCACGACATGGTAATAATTTATATGCTAAATAAAACCGATATATTGATGTTTTATGAAAATTGGACGTGATTGAAATATTAAAATTACATAAAAAATCAAACGAAATTTTTTCGCACATTCGCATCAATCAACTTATGCACCTATTTGCTATGATCACAGTTACATTCATAATATTATAAGTTATTATATTATATATGACCGTTGTGTCTTTATCATCATATTACTGTATATATGTACATTTTAGTTATAAATAGGTATATGTTCATTTAAATATAATGAGGTTTTAAAAGCTTATGACTAGCAGAACCTCTAATATTTTTTAGTCACGACCACTATCACCATCAGGGTGTCTTTATAGTCATCACAAAGAAAAATTTTTGATAGAATTAGAATTCTATATTTTATCTATTATAATGTAAAATTCTGCTTAAAATTTCAAATAAATTGTTCAATTCTTAAAATAATTTTCAATCATTAATTTAATTGTATTTTAACATTAAAATATTGTATATAGTAGCGGTCGTGCCTAACGCATAAAAGCAAAAGTAAAACAAGTGTAGCTATTATGCAAAATTAATAATATGTAATGGTAATGCATAATAATTAGCATGATGATAAAACTAACGGAGATTTGGGGGTGTGCGAGCCCCAGCGGGGTTCAGATCGAAAATGGGGAGACGAACGTAAAAAGTTGCCGATCGTCAATATTGTGAAAATGCGAAGCTTTTTCACAGGCGTCCAGAAGTCGCTGCGCTGGCCGGACCAGAAATAAAAAGCAGTCGGGCTGGTTTGTCAATGGCGTTATGAGTGGTAATACTATCACGAGTCTATGCAAACGAAGCTTTAAACAGTGACTTCGCAAGCAATATCACTAAATTATAATTTCAAAATCATATACTATGCCTTTTCTTTAATACACTGTACATACGACACCATTTAATTAATCTTTTTTTGCATTCATTCAAAGCACATCACTTTCACTTTTTCTTAATCAATTTACTCTCAAGAATCTCATTAATATCAATAGAAGGGCTAAGTCTGAATAGTATGCACACACATTCTCGGAACCAAACCTTTTCTATCACCTCTTGCACACAATAACCATTTATTATCAATTTCTAATATAACTTTCAATCTTTCACCTTCTGCAAATGACAGATGCCCATTATTCGATGGTACCCTATTTGTAACTGTGCGAACCTCTCTGGAATCGAGATGGACGTAGCGTTATTTTACTAATCTAGAGAAAGAAAAATATACAAAAGTAAGATAAAACTGAAAAAAAAAAGCAATAAATAAATGATAGAAAGAAATCGCAAACAAAACATATTATAAGCTGATAATTGAATATTAAGATAAAATTTTCATAAATATATTATATCAATAAACTTTGTGTCTGCTTTTAGCAAAAAATATTACATTTAAATATAATAACATGCTATACTTTTGCCATTACGTGCATCAAATTTAAATAGAAGGAAACGAATATATATATCATAAACTAAACTACTTTTTGTTTGTATAACTTTGTGTTTTATATAAACTATGTGATTAACATATAAACTATGTGATTCAATATTAAATCAATACTCTCTAAATTAAAAGTAGTGTATGAAAAAAGACATTCAAAAATAAAAATTAAATCAAAATATGTATATATATGTAGAATAATTCTACCTACTTTAGCGGTTGTTTCCTCGGAGGATTACGTGTAATTGTATTTGGCCTTGGTAGAGATGTGGAAGCAGCTCGTCTTTGAGGAGATAGGAGATTCTTCTCTTTCGACATAACTCCATAGGATTTATAAGGTAAAGAGCTAGGTCGTGACAAATGAGCCCGCGATGTTCCGACTATGTCTTGATCTACACGACTCGTACGTCGTGTTTCTTGTATACTTTTCCCCCTTGTTTCTATTGGTTTCATTAATACTGTTTTGGTAGTTGATAATGTAACCGGCTTTTTCAAAGAAGGTATTCCAGAGATAGGAGACTTAACAGTTTTTACAGATCCTATTGCTACATTTGGTTGTTTAATAGGTGATGTTAAAAGTCGTGGTATTTTTGATTTTCCCAAATTCGCAGGTGTTCGCATAGGCGATAAGGGTAATGCCGTTCCCGGTTGGTTTTTTCCAGTTTCTTCTTTCCCAATCATCAATTCCCATTTTTCTTGCAGTTTCCTAAATTTAGTTTCTCCAGTAATTGTATCTTCATCGTCCATTTTAGAATCTGGACTTAATGATTTAATAGGAATCATTTGTTTTGTTGCCCCTCTATTCAATGGAGAATGTTCAAGGCTATCAGTATAATCTTCGGAATCTTCGGAAGCTAATTTTTCTAAACCATGCAATACTTTTGTCCCGACAGTGTTGTTAAAACGTTTTTTTACAACATTTTCAAGATCAGTTTTATGTGCAATGATAGACTTATCGTCATAATCATTATAAACATTAACGCAAGACCGTGGACGTATTTTTCTTGGACTTAATACAGTTCCACAATTATCTGCTTTTTCAAAATGATGATCTTTTTGAAGTAAATCAACATTTCTAAAATTTAGTCCCTGGAATATATATATAAAAAAATTTCTATGTAATTGTTCATCATGAGAGGTAATTGACAATTATTTAATTATACTTACATCTATATTATAATTGTTCATATTACCGAAACTATTATGTAATTGTCGATATTGGTATAAAAGATCAAGCTGAAATGGGCAAAATGCTAGAGGATGTAAAATATCTAATAAATTATCAACAACTTCTCGAACGTCGGTATTTGCTAATGCTCCGGTAAATAAACTATTACTGTTATAATGTCTCCGTAAAATCGATTCTCTTGTACATAAATATGCAAACCAAGCATCCAAAGCTCGCAAACTAAAAAAAGAAAAAATATAATATACATTTTCAATTCAATTTAATGCATAAGAAAGATATAAAAATAATAATATAAATAAGGTACACAACCATAGATTTTTTAATAACATTATGTTAATCTAAAAACTCACTTCAACAGACCAAATACAAATGCATGAAATTTAAGCATTCCCTCAGTAATAATATCTTCGCCATTAATCTTTTGAACTAACTCGTTCAATGTCTTTGTAAGTGGCCCTTGCTGAGCAGAAGCCTCAACAACTTGCCATACACTGTTTGCTATTGGACCAAAAGTAGACTGCAAATGTGATTTTAGACCATCTGACATTATAGCATACAAAGTTGGACAGAGATTACTCAAACAAAGTTGTGCACATTCATTTTTATCATTATAATTTTGTCGACCATTAGTAGGTTCAGCATTCCAATATTTGAGTAGTAAGTCAACAGCTTTGCTTGTGGATGATATCATATCTGTAATAAAATAAAAAAAATTTAATTACTATATATGTAAATGTAAAAATGTATGCATATGGATAAATTAAATATATTAAAATAACAAACAAAAATTAATATTAACATACTTCGTTTTTCTTCTAAATCCACTTTGTTCTCAGAATTGATTTCTTTGTTTAGATCCTGAAAACATCTATCTTTATTGTGCTCATTCGTCGGAGCATTTGCATTATTTGGCTGTAATTAAATACAATACATGAATATATTTAAAAAACAAAAATATATTTGATATATATATATATATATATATATATATATATATATATATATAAAGAATATATATATAAAGAATATATATATAAAGAAAATATTACCTTTTCATCTGAATATCGTTTTTTTTCGTGTAAAGCAAAACTGACAGTCTTTTTTTGTGATTCAGCCATATCAATGTTTTTGACTACATCTTTATTCATTCTAAGTGCTAAAAATTTTCTCACGTACGATCTTAATTTAACTTCGGGATCTTCATTATCTCCTTCGCTACTTTCTGACGATAAACCACTACGTTTTAAAAATTCTTCTAATTGCTTTATATCATCTTCACTATTTTGAGAAGTTTCATAATCTACGTTCGTATTATTAACAACTTCATTCAGTCTCTCTAAAATAAAATTAGTAGCTTCTCAACAAGTTTTAAATACTTTTTATTAAACTATGAATATAAATATGTTAGAAGTAAAAAATACACAAAATAAATTTTCTTTACCTGTATTACATTTTTCTTCTGTTTCGTCAACATCTTTTTCTGAATCGATAATTCTCCCGCGGCATAATAGTTGTAAATCATTATTCATATAATATGGTTCTTGTAACGACATTCTTTTATTTGGTTCAGGACACTGATCTTCCACTTCTTCCACTCCTCCCATTTCAAACATACTGTATCTCTTACTTGTGGGAACTTTATTCTTTCTTAAGATACTTCTTGGTAAAGGAGGTCTTGGTGGCACTTTGCCATTGCAGCAATCAGATTCTCTATCTCCATAAGGTAATGAAATGGACCGTTTAGGTAAATTAGGATAGGTTTGCTTTGCTTGATTAACAGTTCTATGAATTTTCTTATCGTTGCTCACTAAACTTGCTTCAGAACTAATGCTATCATAGCGATACAGGTATAATGGATTAGCTACATTATTAGGAAGTAGCTGCTGATTTGTAGAGGAATCCGTCAAGATCGTAGATGAGCCTCGATATCCAGAAGATGGCTGCGTAGCAGTACTACTAGTTGAGGAAGTATTATTTGGTATAAGTTCACTTATTGGTCTTGTTTTATGTCGCATTGGGGGAGATAAACAAAACAATGGTTTTTTAGTTTGTTCATTGATATTGATATGCTCTGAAACTTCTGGCACATCATGTAATATTTTTTTATATTCAGTAGGTAAAAGGAATGTTAGCGACTCCCAATCCTTAACGTGTGAAAATCCACGTTGTTTAAGCGCATCGATATCGTTACAAGAGAACGGTCTGTTGCATCTATTTGAATGTTTCCATCCTGGCTTACTTTTATCATAATATTGAGGCTTTAATGCTACATTGTCTAATTTCGTATCTTTAATATTAAGAAATGAAAGATCTGGTAACGTATAATTAGGATATACAACATAAACAGGCCTTTTATTAACTATCGTTTCCCGTATAGAAGGGCTATCTCTTTCTGCAGGTACTTTGTAAATTAGTGACGTTTGCACTTCGTTATCTTCTGTTTCGACCATTGCTTGAATTCCTGTTGTTTTAGATATTACAGATTTATTTTCCTGAAAAACCCGTAAATGTTTTGAATGGCATTCCAAGTCATCCTGTGAAATTTCAAAATCTATTTGTTCGATATCACTGTCATGTACGAGTTCTGATTTAGTTATGCTTTCCGACAATTCTTCGACCGAGGCAGATGAAATCATGTCATCTTTATTTTCCTTATTGGTTGTAAAAGTATTTGGAATGTCAGCCAACTTATCTTTTTGACTTTCTACTTCTTTATTATTATAACAATCACTACGAACCCAATTTATAGAAAAATCTTTTTCAGGAAGTGGGCGAGTACATGTATTTATATTTTGTCGCTGTATTTGTGTATTTGTATTAGTTCCACTATCACTAGCACTATTGCTTGTAGGCCAACCACTATCACTGATGGAATCAGATTGATCCAAAGTAAGACTCATTCCTTCAGCGCTCATACTCTTTTGTTTCATAAACAATTTTACTAGGCTTAGATTTTGTAACTTTTTCCCAGAACAAATATTTCCACTACCATCGGAATTTTCTTCATTTACAGATCGACTCATTGCAGAGCCTGAATTGTGTGATTGTAATGGGTGGTTATTTGATTCAGCAGAATCAACCTGTAAAAAGATATATAATATAATAACAATAATTTAATCTTGTTTGAATATTAACATAGAGAATTATCTTTGCAATATTTACAGAAAAATTGAGATGAATATTAGTAGGTGATTCTTGAATTCGTGTAAGATCTGGTAAGCTTTGACTCCTTTTATTCATAGATATAGTTGTATTTCCTGTCCCATGTAAAAAATTTGGAATGGTATTGTTATTGCCCGAAGGATGTCGAGTTATAACCTTATTCATGGAAGAATGTTTTAAATTACTCCAAGTAGTATATATTTTAGAATCAGAACACACCATTGACGAATCTAATATAGTTCTTCGTAACCCTTTTTTTTTGTAGTAAGTTTCTGGTACTTCGTATGTTTCTGGTTTTTCTATGTAAAAACAATTTTACAATTTAATATTATTTTAATGTGAATAATTCATAACTTTTTAATACCAATCTTCTTTATATAAGATTTATTTATTTTATTCATTTATTATTGATTTACCTTGATTTTCGAAATCTGGAGAACTATCAGAGTACATTGTAATACTACCTTCAAAAGCAATAGTATAATTATTTTTATTATTTGCTTGACAAGTTAACAGCATATCTTCACAGTCCAATGAATCTACACTGTAACTACCTGCTGGGGGTAGCACAGGTGTTTCTTTCACAGGAGAGAATAATAATGATGATTTGCATATAGACATTGTATCAGTTGTTGAACAAGCAGATTCTTCTCCCTTTAAATAAAAATTAAAAATAATGAAAATATTTATATAGATATACATATAAATCATTCTTAATTATGTGTTTTCTGATAGTTAGTAAGTTATTACTTTCATGCAATAAGTTCATTATCATGATTATACTACTGTTACATAAAATATATATCATTTTTATTGGTTACGATTACTTGCACTTATATTAATCTAACAGTTAACATTATTATAATACAATGCATTACAAGTTAGAATATATTAAATCTGTCCTACATATTTTGTATGGGTTATAAATGATTTCGTAAAAGATTTTTGCAATGAAGTTTGAAAATTAATGGAAATTGCACAGGTATTGTCATACCTGGCTGCTGGTGTGTGGGCTGATTGAAGAACCGATGTCAAGTTTTTCCATGACGGAGCCAGATATACTGGCATAACGTTCCCTTTGATAGTTAAACTGCCATAATAATGGAACACATTTAAAATTTAATGTGTACTAATCTGACTAGTTGAGCGATGTATTGCACATAAAATATATATTTATATTGTAGCTTTTATAAATATTTTGTTGGAAGTTTCTGTATGTTTAATATGTTATATTAAGTAAATAAATAAATAAATATATATTTGAGAAATATGAATTTGGTATTTAAAAGTAACAAATAATAATTATTTAAAACTGTTATCATACAAGACAGTGTTGGATCATTAAAAACACATGTACTACAAATCCTTTGAAATGCATGGTATTAATGATAAAATTAAATATATATCAGATGTAATAATAACATAATAAAACTTAAAAAAGTAAAGTAAGTATGTGCGATGTGTGCATATGTGCTCTACATGTGTTAATAAAATAATAAAATAAATATTAAAAGAATATTAACCTCTGAATGTTGAACTGGATCAGTACACATAACTGGTAAAGCAGTAAGAAGAGTGTGGATGTCTGCACTACGAAAACTTTCCATATCAATTTCTGCTAAATTAGCATCCAAATTACGAGACAGGTCATCATAATAACCCACATCTTCCCGGGAATATGATGCAGAGAGTGAAGACAGAACACTAGGATGGACATGTAATCCTCCATCTTTGTATCTAAAAGTTGGTAAAATTAAAATATCTTTTTAGAAAATGAATCTTAATACCAATGTTTTATTTATTTATAAATATAATCTGTTTACCCATAATCTGTACACCACTGATATTCCACATTGTCTTGTATAAAGTCTGAACCAATAAGATCTTGCTGCATAGAATCTGTTGCAGGATTGGAATTGCAATCCGATCCTGGTGTTTGCGGATCTTCCATGACTGCAGCTCCTTTGCCTGCACCTGAAAAATTTTATAAATATAGAGTTTTATTTTTCTTATGTCTTCAAGATAATTAAATCAATATTAAAATATTAAAACTATTTATTATTAAAATATTTATTAATATACAATATTTAACAGTTTAAGCAGAATATTAGAAAATATTAGAATATTTCATATTTTGTCTATCTGCCTGTTCATATATAATCCATAAAATTTGAATATTTGGATATTATATTTATATTATTTTCATTGATTTTGATGTAAAAGGTCAAATTTATTTATAAATACGAAGACCGTGCGATTATAAATAAAAAAGAAAAACACAATAAAAAAAATTGCAAAAAATTCTCTAGTTTGTTTTCAAAACAAAACATGATTACGAAATAGTTGTAATACGATATTTTCCATGCTATCTCAAATAATACGTGCATGGAGGTACAAAACATTAGGAACTTTTCAGTCATTCCATCGTCATCGCCAAAGAATACTCGAGATAAATAGAGAACTTAATCCTTCGCCTAATTTTGATTTATGATTATTGTGATTAAACGACGAATACCACTTAACAAAAATAATTTCAATTAATAATGTAACCAAATCGAGCGAGTTCAATTGCATAAATTAGAATTAATTCTGTTTGTAAATATATTTTAAGATTTATGCAATAAAAAGTATTACTTTCTTAAAGATCATATTATTTCTGAGAATTGCCACTGAGAGAAAAACTTCCATTGCATATTATTAAACATCCCTCGCATACTTTCGTTTATATATATGTAACAGAATTGTGTTACTCATGGTCGTCACATTGTTGCGTACCGATTGTCAGATCGATCTGTCATTGGTGTAACGAAGATGGTACATCGAATACTAAAATTTTAAGACGTATATTTTCTCGTTTGAAACGCGAAAAAGTTAGTATTCCTAGAAATCGAATTAACAAGATTAAATTGGAACTTACCAGGAAGAAAATGTTAATTTAATGACATGTCGTTAAAAAATCTTGACAAATGTAGAAAGAAAAGAAATATTTTTCTTTCGTAATACACTGTTCGCAATCGGATTACAATGGGTCGATTTTCCTTACATGGTTATCGTTCGATCGATTTCTCGGTCATTTAACGACAAAGATAAACGACATATCTGTTTAAGGCCACGATCGAATTGATCACGTTCCTTTCCTGCTACGATTCGACAATGCCAACGACGAGGCACTGATAAGAACGTCTCTTATTTTTCTCCTCCTTCCCGCCAACACCGCAGCCGTATATCGTTACGATAAAATGGGTATGGCAGTGTCGTGACGTCACCTCGAGCTTTACCAATCATCTTATAGAGTAAATAGCTAAATATTTTGCGCGCCAATTTTAAAATCATTTGAATTCGAATTTTCTTCAAATCTCCTAAGTATATGAGTAATTCTTTACGCACATGAAAAACGTATATGATATTATTTGTCGTTAGTAAATTATACATAATTTCATATATAATATAGGCAATTCCTACTTTATAAAAAATTATCGGCTTAAGATTTTTTTTTAATAGACTGATAAAGACTTGTTTATTATATTGCGTTTATGTGGAAAATGTAAATCTTCGTTTTATGAAAAAATAATTGCCTATGTTATTATTTCATATCTATTGTATATCAATATTTGTTGAAGAGTATTTGTCATGCCTCAGTAAGAACTTAAAGAAGCAAAAATATGCGCCATTCGTAAGCCGGAAATATCAATCCTTATTTGTGACGTCAACTCTCTCGAGTAGTTTACTATCTTTAGCTTTCCTACATATTCCGATCTAATAATTAATAATCAATAATAAAGATGCCAACTTTGATTATTAAATAATAAATAAATAAAAGAATTGATAATTTCTATAAATGAAAATTTTAGTTAGTTATGTTAAATAATTAATGTTTGGAATATTTCATGCATAATGATTAAAGAATTTTATATTGAATCACAATTCAAGTAGAAAGTGTTATTACTAGCATACAGTGACTTTATTTCTAAAAAACGTTCATATTGTATACACAATAATTTTCTGTTTACGTTTGTCAAATGATTTAATAATGTGCAACAAAATCATTTTTGTCATTTGGAGAAAAATTCGAAGATAAAATCGAAGTTTTGAGAATAGAAATTGATACCTGAAGAAATTGTTATCCATTTCATCGCCGTGGCCGCGGCGAATTGGTTTTGCGTCTAGTATTTACACACGATAAATGCTAACCGAAAACACCCATTTCTTCGACCATATGGTGACGAGTTGCCTGTCACTTACACTACTGTTAGAAATTCATTTTAACTGCGCCTATGGAGCATGATCGCTCATGCGGCGCATGTGCACTGTAGGATTGAATGTAAAGGGTGGGCAAATGGAAGTCGGATATAATCGAATGCATATATGTATGTATGTCTCGGCTTTAAAGATCCGAGTGGTTTCGCTCGATCGAAGCTTTAATTCTTGATCCAATGATGAAGCGTTATACGTATAAATTGTATGTATATACATTTGCTTCTCAATTTTAATGTCGTCATTCTTCTTTTATATTTTTATTTCTTTCTTTCCGTCTTCCTTTCTCTCTTTTTTACTCTCTCTCTCTCTCTCTCTCTCTCTCTCTCTCTCTCTCTCTCTCTTTTTCTTTCACTTACATATTAGATCACACTTGGAATAATTTATTAATTTATGAAAAATAATAAATTCCTCATCAATTTTTGTTATGTATTTTGTTATGTATACGTGTAAGAATTTTTAAAACAAATTTACTGTCCTGCTGTCGCTTCGATGTCAAACAAACAAATGCTGATTCATTTGTTTTCAACAATATTTAAACGTTATTTATTATTAGTTTATTTTATCGTCATGTCTTTGCGATTTTTCCTTGTTCTTGTTTAAAAAGGAATGAATTGATTGTTTGTGATCGAATACTATTAAAAACAAGTACAAATGTTCATTTATTGATATTCTTACTAATAATCATGTTTAGTATTATTCATATATTTTTGTTATTATTGTTATTTCGTTAATTTAATTTTTTTATTAATTTGTAAATTTGTTATTTTTGTTATTTTTAAAACTTTTTCTTAACTTATTCAATTTCACTATACGTTTATGTAACTTACATGCTTGTCGTATACATGCATACACATATACATACGTATTTCGTATGATGTGTATATGTATGATAAACTGCTTTCTCTATGTATGTAATGTATGTAATTTTTTAATAGTAGAGACTATGATCAATAAGAATATCTATGGAGTAGTTTATCAATGATTCTATATTGCATTAAAATGATTAAAAAATTTAGTGAATCTACGAAGTGGTTAGTTAATAAAAAGTTTACGAATAAGATAAAAAAACGAGTCAATGATTAACGAGTATTAATAAAACTCATTGGATTCACAACTTCGTCTTATTCATAGACTCGTTTATTGACTAACCTCATCGTAGATATATTATTATTAACCTTTTCCTTACTAAAGGACTACAGTTATTCAACGTTGAATGTTCTCTATGTACTAAAAGTGACTATGATCATTTGACAAAATTCTCTTTGAATTAAGAATTCTAGGTGAATGTAGAATATTTTGAGATATAATAGTTCTATATTAATGTCATATAATTTAAATAAGAAACCAATAATTTGCATAATATGACAAAGTATCAGATGTTACGCTCTGCAGTAACAGAAGTACACTCACAATTCAATTGTCCCGTACAGCGATAACGTACTAGCGGTCAACTTTGCCATTAATTACAAATTAAATACGTTTTTGAACGATCATATATGGAACGAACCTTGGCCTTTTTTTTGTATTCAGCATGATGTATTGTATTTTGAATATATGATATACGCTTTTGGCGAGAGTACGTGCTAAAAATATTAATCTAATCGATTAAACATAGTTCAATTCAATTCTTTCGCGATTCATTCTACAATACAGTAGCGAACTTGTCCTACCGAGAAAAGAAAGAAAAAAAGCAAAAAAATTACAATATAATTATTCGCGTCGACAGTGCCGAGGGCGTGAGATAATTTTAGCACCAAGTAAAATGCCAGAGAAGAAGTCGAGAGCCAAATTTCGCGAATCGTTGCAAAATTTTACATAGTTATGCATCCACGAAACATGATACGAGAATTTCAAAAATTTGCTTTTTTATCGTACTTAATGATTATGTTGTGTATAATTTTTTAGATAAATACGAGATTAGACGAATGATGAATTTATCATTGATTTTTACAATATTAATGAATTTTATAAAAATTGTATTAAATGTTTATTTAATTGATCTCAAACGTAAATTTATCGACGATAATACTTTTTGATTTATTTCTCAATTTCCGTATAATTTAGTTATCTTTTCAAAATACTCAATATTTCAATTAATCTGTGAGTTTTTCTTGTCACGAAGATGACAAAAGACCACGGTTTGAAAATATCATGTGTAAAGAAGAAAAGGAAGCATTTTTTTGACTGTCCTTCGAGAAAAGAAAGGGTGTTTAAAGAAAAAAGATTCTCTCTCGGAGTGCAAGAAGTAAAATAGTAGTAGCCCTCTATTTATAGCAAAAGAACCGTATGCAAGAGAAGCTCGTTATATACACAAAGTCTATCATGGCCACAGAGAAAGAGAGAGAAAGGAAAGAGAGCGAGAGAGAGAGAAGAGAGAGAGAGAGAGAGAGAGAGAGAGAGAGAGAGAGAGAGAGAGAGAGAGAGAAAGAGAGAGAGAAAGAGAAAAGAAAAGGGCGAAAGAGAGAGAAACACATCTGTAGAGGTATTTGAACTGTTGAAAAAAGATCGACTAGAATTTCACCATATGCTGTCTCTGCGTAGTCGAGGGCGTTGCAGATCGTTACTTAAATCATTAGAGATGCGTTCGCATTGAAACGTTTGATCCCTCGCATTCGACATTTCCGAGGATACAAATACAAACTTTTATTTCAGATATACCTTGTTAGAAATCGTGTGATCGTTTAGACATTTCATTGAAAAGATATGTTGATGTAAAGTAAATATAGAATTAGAAACGTTGTCTAAACTTGAAAAGAATCCAAAAAGCAATGCAAAAAGACAAGAAGTATGATTCATTTGATTAAATCAAGCATTATGAAGAGAAGTGTTTCTCTTTTGGCACGAGCAAGAAAGCGGATTCTGTATGGTAACATTTAAAAAAAATTAGAAGAAAAAGATTTTTAAATATACAATCAAAAATACAATTAAAAATACAATTAAAAATACATCTATGTGTTCTTACACTGTTTCTGAAGAAAATACATGCATTTATCGCATGGAACTCGATAATAATTCCAATCCTGTCGTTTACGACAGGACAAGGAGGGTGATTGCTGTTGTTCATGTTGTCGCAATGGTGGTGATGGCGGTGGCTTTTTTCGTGGCCGTTGTCGACGTCGCGATGGTTGAAGTGACGGACTCACGCGACCAGCAGAGAATTCTGCTATCTTCATGATGACGCACAACAGAAGCACTATCATCATTTGTCAATCTTTGCGGTTTCGTCGTTCTAGCACTTTTATAGCATAGCGATACTTTTCTCACTAGCGTGCATCACATCGGGTTACACTCGTCACGTTTCCTTTATGTTCTGTCGCTACGCGACATCAAAGTCCGTGCTAAAACGCAGTTTTTCGAATACTGTTTTGCACTTTTCTTTTTTCTATCTCTCTTTTTCTCGTTCTCCTTTTTTCTTTTATTTTTTACATCATGTTCCACTTCATACACGGAAGTTCGCTCAAAGACTGAAGTAACATTGTAACATTACACTTCACTCTTACTTTATACTTACTTTATACAATTTTCTCTATCTAATGGAATGAAATGAAAAAGGTTCGATGTTAATTCGTTTATTTCCTCTCGGTAAGTTGTTTTATTTCTTGCACACCAAAACGATACTAAAATCTCGCATTCGTCCGATGATACTTATTGCTGATGCGTGAATGCCTGTGGGTTTACTTATCGCGTGGGTTAGACCCTGTTTTGCCTTTACGAGACGACTTTCCGTCGAAGAATATCGGGAAAATTTTGAAATCGGGTTCTGTTACCTTTTCTATCTATATAATTGGGTTGAGGGGAATAAATATATTAATTTTTTTGTGACATATCTCTTCTAATGTATATTCTTTATACGTATTTATCGAAACACTTCCGTTTTGTGAATATGATCTATCACGTTTGATCTTTTGTTAATAATAACTTTTTTTATCTTGAAGATAATCTGAACATTCGAATAAATAACAAATAATGAAAAATGTAAATAACTATCAGGTAAGGTGACTCACTGTGACATGGTTCTTCGTCATTATTTAATTTTGATGAGAACATTTCCTTTGAATAGCTTTTACGATAATGTTTTTAATAATACGTTGTTCTTTGTTAGATAGTCGTTAAACGTATGCAACTTGAAACGTGACCTTTGTTGTCAATAACGAAATAATTTATAGCACGTCATAGAACTATCTACTTTTGTTGTACAATTAAAACATCTACATAAGAAAACGATTAACAAAAGCAATCTATTATAATAATTACAAAAAACTTGTGATTTTAAATTAAGAATATTGGATTTATCACTGAATTACGGAGAAATCAAAATCTAAATGTTTCTTTATCGATATAAATAAGCTTCGATAACAGTTTCGATAAAAATTTTTAACGCGTAATGGTACAAAAATAATCATGACAGTATTGTGTCGTTTCAAATTTGACCGAATTGAAAATTAATGCAATGATATAAACATCTTCTGTGAATAATATCAATAATTACAGAGTTACTCAATTAAAATATATAAAATGAAAAATTATAAGGATTAGTCTACGTCAAAAAAATATAAACGCGATATTCTCGTATAGTATCCATTTTGGGCGCCGTACTTACTGCCAACAAAGATAGTAATAATAGTTGCGTCAGCTAATACGCAACTGTCAAGCGCTTAAATTACAAGTGGCGAAGCAATTGTTTCGAGTTAATCGAACGTTCGAGTATAATAAAGAGGGTTCGTCGGAGCGTAGATCGTACTAAATTTGGACGTTACTTTTTGTCAAACTGATCATTCGAGAATCGAAGATACTGAATCATCCGTCTAATCACTAATCCGTATAATAGAAGTTTAATTGAGTTTAAGTACTTAGTGAATTTTAATTCTTTCTCATTGAAATCCTGATTATTATCTGTTAATTTAATTATATTTTATGGTACATGAAATATAAAGGACACAAAGAAAAATGTGTTTTATACCTTATAATTAGGATATTTCTATGTACAAATTGAAAGTATTTGATCCATTATGCGACTGAAAATATTTTTATCTAATGAAATACTCCTGTTAATAATTATTACAATGGGAAAAAATTCATTTTCTCAGTTTTGAAATAAGCTATTTTTAACTCAGATCCAATAGTTATAATGTCGTACGTTAAAAAGTTCAAGAATTAACTCAAAATTCATTTGTCATTTTCTATATCGACTTCAATAGTTTTCTTTTCTTTGTTTTTCTTTTTTTTTTTTTAATGAACATTTTACACGTACAGTTGAAAAGGTATGAAAGAAACGTTTCGATGAATTTTTCGTATCATAAATGAGTCATATATCACGCTTCGATTTCAATTATTCTGGAAAACAGAAGAGAGAGCATTGAAATGTTCAGTTATCGTCGTGAGATCGTTTCCTCGAAGACGATGGACCGAAATTTCAACGCCCTCGGTTAACTATAATGGAAACACTGACGGAACTAGAAGGAGAAACATCTGGCGAACTTCAAAATTCCAGTTAACTCCCTTAACTCCTTAAGTATCAGAAACTGTTTCCAGGAGACGTTTATCAGAGTTAAATCGATTCATGCGTTAAACGCACTACGATGCTCAATGATCTCCAGGCGAGGAAATACCGAACGTTTGAATTAAATGATGTCCATTAGACAAAATTCTCGTATCCGTTTAGTACGTGGGTGCAACCGGCGTATCCGTCACAGTGCAATAAGTCGTCTTTGGTCTACGCACTAAACGTGCACTAAAAACGCGCACATATAGAAACTTAACTCACAGTATATATTTTATACATACGTATATATTTACATACGTATCTATATGGAAAACACACACATAGGAGATAGATATGAAATCACATATAAAGAAATAAAAATGTCAAAAACTTTTTTTAACAATTCTTTCATCCGCTTAATCACATTAAAAAAGAGAGAAAGATAGAAAGACGAATACTTTAACACTGATTCAAAAATGTCAAAAGCATTCAAAGTTTATCGTAATCCGCTTTGAGGCTATACACGCTTCTCCCAAAGGGTTTCTTATCTGTTACTTAACGGAGAAGAGTATTCTACTACCCTTTCCTCTCTCTTTCTCTTTCCTCCTTTCTTCCTTCCTTCCTTTCTTTCTTTCTATCTTTCCTTCTTTCTCTAGGCACGAGTTTCGTGTTTATTTCGGTGGAAATCGTTTTCTGGACCACGGTCTGAGTCAGACTGCCCTAGCGGCGTGCGTCCTGCGCGGGAGAGCTCTTGCACACGGCACGACACGACGCGGAGTTTAATCTCTATTAATAAATACTCGGTGTGTCTGGTCCCTCCGGTCGGAATAGAGAGCACAGAACAAGAGTAAGAGAGAGATAGAGATAGATAGATAGATAGATAGATAGAGAGAGAGAGAGAGAGAGAGAGAGAGAGAGAGAGAGAGAAAGAGAGAGAGAGAGAAAGAGAGAGAGAAAAAAGAGAGAGAGAGAGAGAGAGAGAGAGAGAGAGAGAGAGAGAGAGAGAGAGAGAAAGCTAATCTGTACACCGAAATGTAGGAGTACTTTCAAGGATCTCTAATTTTTGAATCCACCACACCACCTGTTTTATCAATCTATATGATGCTATAGAGAAGCGTTATATTACAGTATAGTATTGTCGAGGATAGGAAGTAAGACTCGACAATAAAAGGGTGCCTTGAGAGGACAGTGTGGGATCTAAGAAAAAGGTATTCTTTGAAAAAGGGTTGAACACGCTAAAGGAAAATCATAATGCAAGCTTTCTATCGTTTTTTAATATGTCCTTAGTCATGCGGGAAACGATGACGTAGCTCTTATGGGGATCGAAAGTCGACGTCACTCGAGATACGTTTCTTTTCCTTTAATTTCTTTTTGCTCGACTTTCCGCTCACGTCGTAACGATCGATCTTTCGATATATATTGTTTTTATCTTTCTTTTCTATTTCATTTCTGTTGCTCTACGAAGTTCTCCTGTGTACCTTGTTCGATGTATTTCCTAAGGGATTTGTAGGAGGTATTTATGTATTTCATTTGTTTCCAATCACTATATACTGTGTATATATATATACATACCTACATATATACGTGATAAATCATCGAGATGACTAAGTTTTTTTTATCGAACAAGCTGAAAGATATTTTTATAAGGCATCGACTTTTTGAGTCCCACATCAATTAATATCTGACTTTATGTTAACGTCATTAATTATGTAGAATGATATTGCATGGGCTACAATCGCCTTGGGTATATAAATGCTAGTGTGGATTCGCGATTTGTTATATAAGTGTACAACGACCTTAACACTTATTGATTTTCACCATACAAGTTCCTTGCTACAGTAGCCGAGGACAAAACTAGTTCGTTAACTAGAAACGATAACAAATTTTTCTACATTTATGAAGTTTCATTTCTGCCAATATTTTCTCAAAATTGAAAAACTTTGCAAACTGTTTAACTTTACAAACTGACATAAAAAAAGTCAATTTTATTATATGTAACAAATAAATACGTATGTCTGTAGTTGATAAATCTTTGAATTTATTCGAGATGAATATTTATTGAGAAAAGTTAATGGTTTGTGAACATATGTTTTGATATATAAAAAACAATAACAAAATATTTCTAACATCAATGATTGTGTCATTTATCAATTTGATGTACAAAGCTTGAAAAATAGGAAAATAATGTTTCCAATTATAAAAGTAATCGTACTGGTCGTTGTTATGACCCTTTTTAGAAGAAGGATACCGTTGATAAGTAAAGATATATTTGTAAGTATCGATTTCCAATACGTTTCCACCTATATATATAAAGGAGAATCATTGTCTCGAATTGGAATAATAAAATCTTCGTGTTTATTACTTTTTTTTTTATAGCTGAGGCATAAATGATAATTCGTTTTTCGATAAGGATCTTTCTATCTCGTCTTTCCGATCGAATCATTTTGTCTTTTAATGATCGATCTGAAATAATATGTACAAATGATTTTTACTTACTGATACGTTCTCCGTTGCTACGGACAATATCCGTTGCCAGGGCCTATAAAAGATAAAATAAAATTGAATTAATTATTGAAAATATTTAGATATGTATATATATTGATTAATCGTCGTGTGAAAATTTTTTTATATTTTTTTCTATTAAAATCGTTTTATGTGGCGCCAATAATTCTGATTTGTTGATGTCTTTCATAGTTTCCGACTCGCGAATCGTTGCTTTATTTTCAGCCGTTTATATACTCGAACAGAAGGGGTTAGTATTTTTGGACGAATCATAGTGCATTTCCTCTCCGTGACTCAAGAGTCACGATCCGTTTTGTTAGGAGACTAGAGTTAAAGAAGGGTCCATGTTTTTATTAGAATCTCGAATAAGCTAAGTAAAATGTTTAATAATGATGACAATCAGAAAGAGTATTAAAAAAAGAATATTAAGAATCTTATCTATTAAAAAAAATTAGAAATAAATATCTTTTATACAGATCTATATTATATATTTCTTGTATTTGTTGGAATATTACGAGTAGAAGTAACTATTAGGGGGACCAGAAAGTAATGTCGTTTCTGCGCATGTCGATATTTGATTGTGATTAAAAATAAAAACTTGTTAAAAATTTATTCGTTTGAATTTAATTTAAGAAAGCGACATTACTTTCCAGTCCACTTAATATTTATTTGCTACATTTTTCGAGTATTTTGGAACATATTAACAGCAAACTTCTACATTATTCTTATTTCTAAAGATTGCATACTAAAGATTGAACGGCGCTCAATATTCGCATAAGAAGTTTATGGAGTATATAGTCGCAAATCTTTATGAATTTCATAGCTGCAAGTATTTTACGATGTTACTCGCACGGCTAGTTCTGAAATAATAAATCGTTTAAAAATCCGTGTCAATATATTTACTTCGTGTTTTTCTGCTATCTCTCTAGGCGTTGTATTATAATTGGCTTTAACAAGGACAAAACAGACACAGAATAAAACAGAATGATACTTAAGTCACCTCTACGACCAACAGAAGTAACAAAATTGCATAACTTTAAGTGTACTAAGAAAATGAGGCCACGAGATTCTAATAAGCGTAACTATACACTGGTGAATGATAAAACATGCACATCTCTTTTCTTACGTGTCATTAAATATTCTAAAATTCTATCAAATTCAAGCTAAGATGCAAATTTGTATTTCGTTATTGTTTTATTCAATCATAAAATAAAATTGTAATAAGATAAAAGTTATCCGATTATCTTTGGATATGCACATGTTCGATCAATTCTTTAAATAACAAATCTCTTATTTGAAAATATTCTCATAAAATAGAAGTCTTTTGTGAAAATGAATAAACTATTATATATAAAGCCGTTATTTATAAATGCAAAAGAAAATTCTATGGATTTGTAAGAGTATCTGATATTTTAATCGATAAACGCATATTGCGCGTTATGAATCTAATAACTTCTAATGTTTCTTGCAAAAGTATACGATCATTAACTTTTCGATGGGTTTATGTAAAAAAAAAGGGAACAACCCTTCGTTTTATGGTAGGAGATTATTCTCAAAGATACTGGCTGAAAATACATTAAAAGGCGCGCACGTCGGTGATGAGATTAAAGGTAACCTTCTCATCGATTTTCAGTCTTCAAGGGTCAATGACGTATTACGTGCATAGAACTAATACAAACGAATTTTACAAAAGATTTTTTCAAAAAAATTATACCAAGTAGTAAAAAAATGAATTGAAAATTGAACGAGACAAGGATGAATCTTTATTATAATGATAGTATAATATTACTATGATTGTTTGTTCACGTTGTAAGTCAATAAGAATGAATTATGTCATATTAATATTCTGCTAAAAAGAAAGACTATTCCTCATTATCTTCATATGTCTAATATGCAAGAACATAGAAACGCCCACGCGATGTGCCAGTAAGTAGAACCAGTCGATATCAGAGAAGGTAAAACAGAGAGAGAGAGAGAGAGAGAGAGAGAAAAATCTTGGTACTTACGTTCATGTTATAGATACAGCTGACAGTCGATTCACGAAACACTCACTTACACAAATTTGACGACATCTCAATAACATTTCACAAACTTTTTCACTGACTTATGATCAAACGATATTATTGACTTATACACATGACACTCGCAGAAATTGTCACAGGGAAATGCTTCCAAGAACGTGTATTCTATCTGAGTAACTCTGGAGCGGAGAGCCCCTCCCTGACTGCAACTACCCCCTGTTTAATATCGAATGCGCATGCTTCGATTTCGGGCTGATGTTTCGGGCTCACAAAAGAGGGTTTGATCACGCTCCCTTACGATCGTCCTCAAAATTACATTTGTCTTAAGTCTTAGTAAAAATTAAATTCAAAAAACTATTATAAGATTTCTTTCACCAAAATTTTCCATTCTTAAAATCGTTTCTTAAACATACTAATGTTCCAATATTTTCCTTGTAACTAAATCACAATATGAATACATCTACAAAAACAAAAATTACTTATCTTAAATTTCCAAAACTTAAATTTTTTGTATTGAACATAATGAAAACAAATATTCAATATATGTCGGCCTTTTATTTGAAATCAGATGCAGAATATTTATAATTGTGATTAGATTTTACTTTTTATATTAGATTATACTTTCTTTTCTTAATTTATTTAAATAAATGTCAATTGTATTATATATATAATACAATATATATATACATAAAATTTGTCTAATATTTGAATTAGATTTTCCAATGTTTACTTCACAAAATATAGTTTTGTTTTTTCAATAACTTCAATATACAATATAGAGAAATAGAGATTACTTTCATATTTTAATATATATATATATATATATATATATATATATATATATATATATATATATATATATATATAAAGATTTTAAAGTTATTGTCATTTATATTTTTTATATTTGTATCTTTCTATCTTCTCGTAAAAATGGTGCAAAGTAGTATCGCGACTCTAAGACGGCTTTATATTGATTTTCTCAGGTTTGAAGTTTCAAGCAGGAAGTCTTTACTTCTTCGTATACTTTGAATCTTCTTTAAATCGCAGGTAGATGTCAGGCAGTTATAGTAGAAGAAACTATATAAAGATATTTTGAACTGTCTAAATTTGTCGAGAGACATTTTTTAATATAATTTCTTTTTCAGGAAATATTTATCACATACATATTAATTAACTATATTAATTAACTATATTTTTAAATTATGAGAGTAATATAATTAATTTATTCGATTTAAACAATAATTATTAATATTTAATGTTTATTAGAAAGAGAAGAACAATATAATTTTACTTTTCTTTAAATTTCAAAGGCAATTTATGTAATCATGAGACGTATATAGCATTATTAACGTTGATTGGTTAAGAAAGTTAATTTTCGGGACGAGAAATTAAATTTTACTTTTTCCATGAAAATTGATTAGTTTATAAGTAAAATAGCTAAAATAATTAACATTAAATAACAACTGTTAATATGCGATAATAATAAACCAAAATGTATACATATAATTTCTGAAAAATATCATAAAAATGGAATAATATAATCTAAAAAATACGTTTCTATTTTACACGGACAATCATTTACATATTCTTCTATATATATGTTTTCAATTTTTTGTTATATTTTGGATAAAAGTAAAAGCACTTGATTTATTAGATTGTTTTTATAAAATAGGTTCATGTAAATTAACAAATCTAAAGATTCATTAAGTTCAATTTTTATTTGTACTAGTACTTTTTATGGGTACAAAATAAATAATTATATAAAAAATATAAATCATTTAATAATTATATATTATGTATAAATTATAATTTCTATATGTATATCAGATGTAATATGATATAATCTTGTAATATATACGATCTAAAAAGATATTCTGGGTAATCTATTTTGAAATATTAATCTGAACTTTTTTTTTTCTGTCTTTTTATCTATATAACAGTAAAATTTATAAATTTTACAAATATATTAAAACATTGTACGTTTCTTAAACATACAGGATATGAAACTACGTTTATAGGACTTGTATAGAGGAACTGATGTATTGAACTATAAGAACTATGATTATACTTTCTTAAGTATTAATTACAATAAAAATGGAAATGGAAAAATTATATAATAAATAAATTATAAGATTTATACTTAAATTATAATTTTAACATCAAGCTATAATTATAAGACTATGTTATAAGAGAATAGATATATGATAATAGTAACTTAAAGTTATAAATTAACTCTTTGTTTTTTAGCATAAATACCCTGTTGGTTTAAATTAGTTTCTTTTACATAATAGATGAATTATGTTCAATTTATTTGAAATTCATCTTTTATTTCTATTTATATGCACAGCATATAAATAGAAGTGTCTTGCTGAGAATTCCAGATTTTTACCACCAAAAGTATATATTTATGAATATATAAATTTATTTTTCATGTAATTACAATTACTTTTTATAAATTATAAAATTGAGATGTTAAATTTTTTCAATCTTTTCTTGAGGCAAAAAAAAAAGAATTAGGGAATGTGCGTATTTGTATGAAAGATTGTAAGTAAAAAATTAATCTATTTCTGAATAGATTTTGTTGGTGATAATAACTTACATGAATCAAAAGATTCTTACATGCGAAAAAATAAATATTTTGCCATATCGTTAATAGTAATATTATACATAGCGCCTATTTTTAGATGTTTTACGACATCTTTGTCTACCAAATATTGCAATAATACATATAGTTACTGTTGCAATAAGAACTGCAGAAACGGCCCATACTGCTTTACTGGTATGCATCTTTGGTTTCTTTTCATCTTCATTTTCTAAATTATTGAAGTCAAATGATTGCTCATACGGATTTACAGTAGTTTGTTTAGTTTCAGAATCTGTATCACTTTTTGGTTTATCAGCTTGGATATTAGAAGATAAGTCAAATTCTATAGGTTTCACAAATTTTGCAGAATCATTAAATCTTTTCTGCGTATATTTTGTTGTTGTTGATAATGTAGTTCGAATTTTTTTTGTCGTTGTAGTTGTAGTAGGTGTTGTGGTTGGAGCATTCATTTCTTCAATAATCATTCGTTCTACTTCTTCGAGCTCAGCATCACCATTAGATTCAAAATTATGATCAATTTCTTCTTCATTTAGTTCCTCAATAAAACTTTCTAATGGTGAGAAAAAAGATGTAAGGGCATATATTGATATATCATCTATTTCAAACAATTTGCTCAATGCATCTATCCAATTTTCTGCTGATCCTTGTTGAATTAGTTTTCTAAATACAACAAATATGATACTTTAATTTATTGTTATAAACATATATTTATATATAAAATAAATAATCATAAATTATACATACATTAGATTTGAATTTATTTTTTTTGTACTAATATCATATCTAACTTCAGTAGATTCCATAATATGTTCATAAATTTGAAATGCAAGAAGTATTCCAGCAAATTTACTACAATATATATAAATAATAATATAGTTACATTAATGTTATTATTATCATTTAATATAATATAGAAAAGTTTATCATTGTAATATTATAATGTTACTTACGAAAGATATGGCTTATTATATGTAATATATTCATCATTTAAAAATGTTGGTGTATTCATAGATTCAGGTTCACTAATTCCTTCAAATTCTAACCTGTAACATAAATTAAATAATTATAATACATTCAAGATATTAATCATGTTCACAAGATATATATATATTATATATTAGAACATACTTATGTTTCCACCAAGATTTTATCAATTCTGTTGAGTCTGTAATATTATTTTCTATAGCATTAATTCTCCATATATCTGCAGATATATAGTATGCTAACCGTGGCAATACATCTAATGCAGTAATCATCAAAGAAATAATTTTTTGATCTGTATCGCTTATATTATAAATCAAGTGATTACGTTGTAACCATACCGGACTAACGGATAAAATTCCAAATAATTCAGATAAGGCTTCTTCTAAAACTTAAAATATATTCTATTATTAATATATCTTTTTATTTATAAGTTAATTTAATTAATAATTACCAGAATATCTATTAGCTATGTTGAGAATTGGAGTGTTTGGAACAGATATTTGTTGAAATAAGATTTTTCCGACATTTTTATGGGCTAAGAGAAAATTTGCAATAGTTGGTTCAAAACAAGTGGATATTCTGAAATTACAAATTATTTCATAATTTCTGTGTTACATATCTGATAAATAATAACATCTTTCTGCAAGGATTTGTACAAATCATAAAGTGTACAAATTCTTGTACGTCAGCTTGTAGAAAGTATAGTTATATGATAATTAATAAATTCTCTAACCGTGTAATTCCATCTTTACAAAAATTTATTAGCTTAGGCGGGCAATGGCAATGAAATTGACTTTTAATCCAAAAATTAGATTGTGGTACTTGACCTAATAATATAGTGCCCATATTAGATGCTGCTTTATATAGAGATTTTCCAAAGAGTTTCTGTAGAATTTTAAGAACATTTGTAAAAATACATTAAAATATGCAATAAATCTATATTATATCAACTATAATTTTAAAATTCTAATATTAAAAATATCTTACCTTTTTCCACAGATTCTTTCTTATATTATATGTTATTTCCGAATATGGTGACATATCTATGGAAAAAGTACTCCATTCTTGTCCTTGTAGTGATCCTAACAAGTAAAAATTTGTAATATTAGTATAAATATGTAATCTTATTTCAGTGAATTATTCTTATAAGTATAATATATACCAAGTAAATGAGCTGGGATAGTTTCAGTTAAATTAATTCCATATTTGTGGGATAAATGAGTCCGAGCAAATTCTAATATGATTTTATGAAGACTTGAAATTCTATTCCACTGAGTTTTGATGTCTTCATAACCATTTGGATATACTGATAACATTTCCCAATATTCTTTTACATTATCGACATCTAAAATAATTTTATTATATATATCATTTATCACGTGATATATTATAATCGATATTTAAATGAATAAATGAATTAACCATTTGCTTTAGCAGCTTTCTCAGTGAGCGAGAGAATGTAAGAGAAATTTTTAACAAGTGGATTTAATTCTTGATACCAAGATTTCCAAACATTAAGTTTATCATTCTCATGTCCATTATGCGACAATAATCGTTCAAAGTCTACAAGATAAGGAAATTAGTATTTATAAATATAGAAAATTTTGAACAAATGAAACAAATAAACAAATTAATCGTACCTTCACGCAAATAATTATTTGTTTTGTCAATATTCTTAACCGATAATCGTAAAACTTCAGCACTATTAGCAAAGTGCACCAGCTACATATATAAAATATAAATATAATAGATTATATTTAACATCTTTAATCTAGAACTAATCCAGAAATTTTACAAATGATCGTACCTTTTTGAAATCTTTTTCATCCAGTAAAGCATCACCTGGTTTTTCAATAACATTGTACTTATATACAAGTAAGGAATCGCTTAGAATTATTTTGGAAATATTGTGAATTTCTTCTCTTTGAATTTTTTTGTAGTTTCCATATTGTATTTGTTTTTCTTCCTACAATAAATCTTGAATGAATATATCGTTTTTTTTTTATATTACATCATACTTAAAAAGAATTAGTTAATGTTATTGAATTTAAGAAAATGTTATAAAAAGCGAACATCTAAATTGTTAGTTGCTTTCTATCAATGGGAACTCGTATGAGGAATATCCTTAAGCTTACTAACCCATGTCGTATACGTTGTCTGATCTGATAATGATGAATTGATGAATAACCACTCAGCAATAGCTGCATCATAACAAATATCTTCGTAACCGAGTTCCGTAAATTCTATGGCAGCTTTGGCATTATCATCATATGATGTAGCTATAGCGTATATAAAGAGATTAAAGACGATCCACGACCATTTTGGTACCATTCCTTTGAGCTGCGTGCAGAGACAAAACGATTAAAGTCGAAATCGATTAATTTAATTAAATCATGAATTACGAAAGTGATTATACAGTTAGAAGATACGAATTCTCTCGTAACTCATGAGTCTCAAATTCTACGAAGCATTTCTGTTTTCACATAATTATTTCTCCATTAATAAAACTTTTGCGAACGTTTCTAACGAAAACTTCAAAATATGCATACAGCATATTATTTATCTTGCGGTTAGTCTTCATGTAATATGGAAATATATGACTGATATTTTCATGATCTCAACAACTTGGAAGAGTTTAATTATAATTCATTACAGCTATAAGTGAGTCATTTCTCTTATTATTACGAAATAGTTTTGACCGTTCTTATAACGTTCCAAAGAGATATATCATAATGATATTATTTATCATTATGTTTAATTATTAAATTTAGCGAAATTTGTCTTTCTAACTAAGTTACAATGAAAATGATGAGTGAGAAACAATACGTCAAAATCTCTTTTTTTCGATTTCTAATTTCTAATAATAAAGTTGAATATGATTAAAAAAATATTTACTTGCAAATCTATATTATCTAACTTGTAAATCTATATCTCAGAGAAAGAGAGGAAGAGGGAGAGTTAATTCTACTACTTATGATTCCCTTGGTAGGCGAAGATTCTTGAATTATTGTTCATTGCGTGATTCATTGTCTCGATTACACGTTTTAATCGTTTCATTTCGTGAGCTATTATCCTACAACTGCCAACCATCGGAAAGCCAAATGGCCATATGAATTATCAAAGCAAGCTTATAATGTGTTTCAATTTAATTATTTAAAATTACAAGTGATAATTTTTTTTATATCGAAGCTGATTTTTTTTAACTATTTGAAAGTTATATTGCTTTGGAGTTACATTTACTTTAATCTAATTATATTAATTGTGTTAACTTTAAAATAGAATTTCATTTAGTAAAGATTTCTTGATATTCTTTTTATTATTATATTTAAATCATTTGAAAATATATTTAAAAATTATTAATTCGCACAATATAAATTAATTCGAAACAATTTATGTTCGATCGACATTTTTTTTCGAATTCTTCTTTCGTAAATAAAAGAAAAAAAATATTCCTTTTTCATAACATCCTTCTATTATTCTATTTTTTTTAAACACCCTAATAACGCATATATATATCACGGTAATTAAGCGATCATCTTAAGTTCAGGCAATAATTTAAAAGTCATGATTTCTTTTGAAATGTAGAATCATTTTTTGTCCACATAATCAAATTATAAAGGAAAGAAAGACATTTGTACGTGCACGAATTGATAATAATTATTTCTTTTATCATATATATATATATATATACATATAAATATTTATTTATTTATTAAAAATATATGTAAGTTTTTGCCGTAGTTGAAATACAGGCAAAGAAAATTGTTTTATATCGTTTCTTTTTCCTTTTTTTTCGTATTATGCAGAAAAAGTCTCTGTCGTACAATTATATAATTTTCTTATCGCATTTATCCTTGGTCTGTGCCTTGCAATTGTGTTTTAAAAATAAGAGATCGACGATGTCATGAGAAAAAAGATTGAATAAAAGTATTTTTCAAATATATATAACAAGCGAAATACACACTGACAAAAGGAATTAGTATTGTCTACGTGTAAATGTAAAGGTAATTGTATTTCTACCAATGGCAATGAATTTATTAATTTATTATAAATTATTATTTGATCAGATCTGACAGAAAAATGTAGTTTCAAAAATATTTATTATTCACTTGCGGCTCGTTGCTTCTGGTTTTTACGTAATGCTAATAACTGGTTTATATGTAATGATATCCGCGAGTAGCATCATTATTTTTAAAATGAGGATAATTTGGAAAGTTCACATATTTTGAAAAATTTGAAATTATTGAAGTGTATGTTAGTAAAATGTTAGTAAAATGTGGCCATAATTCGAGTAGTAAATTCAACATAAAAAAAAAAAAATAATATGCAAATAATTTGATTCTTTTGTCAAACGTGGAATCGTTTACTCAAATTGAATATTATTGACATATCTCATTAATTTATTAGAGAGTATGACTAGTGAGAAGCGAATTTGAATAAACATTTTTTTAATACTTTCAAAGATCAATAATAAAAAGTCTATGATCAATTTACTGTGAAGGTAATTGAAAAATTATCGTACAAAAACAATAAAAAAAATTGTTTTTAATTCGAAAGGAAGATAACAAATATATTTATATGAAATATTCCTTGTTATTCTGATTTATTGAATTAATAATTTAAATTATTTATAGAATTTTTAACGAATATATATATATATTTTATATATGGCAAATAATATATATATATAATTATGTAATTAATATAATATTTAGTATATATACTACATAATAAATAATATATACATATTATTTATCATATATAAAATTATATTCTATATATAATATATTATATGTATAGTGCTATGTATTATATATGTACATAGGTAAAAATAAATAAAATCTCGAAATAATGGTTATTCGTCGATAGTTAATTATTTAGAAGCATTACTAGTCAATGTCATAATTTGAAAGAAATGTAAACAAATTGGTTTGCTGAAAGATTTGCTAAACATTAGATTCTCTCATATTGACTTTAACGATAGTCGGTAATGGAACTTGTTACTTCGTAAAAGATATAAATTTAATTTGAGGTTCAGTAAATATGTAGATTATTCTAATTATATATATATCATAGATTTTTTATAACAAATATTTTTTATCTGAAACATTTTTTTTCCCTACTTTCTTTAAAAATATTTTTATGTTAGTATTTATCTTAATTATCTAATATTCAAATTAATAGTAATTATTACACGGAACTACATGTCGACTTATCGTCAAATTAATCTTATTATGCAAATATTATGCAAGTATATTTTAATTCGCAAGAATTTCGAAGAAAATATTTCATGGTTATTATTAAAATATTGAAAATAATCTAATCGCAATTAGTTCATCCTATTCCACTTAAACTACAATTAAACGAAGTTTCTATTTCGTAGAGATATCTATATCTAATCTAAAATTAATGTGAAATAAATCTTAAATAGTAAAAAAGTAATTTCAACACGCATGCGCATCATTCAAAATTTAAAAAACAAGCGGATACCAATCTCAAAATAGAATGTTTTTAGATGTTAAGAAGGGAGGATGAGATTAGTAGCAAAAATAGAATCAGCATGTATTTGCCCCTGAACGAATCATGCTCTATCTTACGTAAAATTAATTTCCTAGTGCAAGATATATTGTAATATTGATATCACTATCGATATCAAACTAAAAGAATAATAGAGAAAGTGAGAGAGAGAGAAAGAGAGAGAAAGAGAGAGAAAGAGTATGAGAGAGAGAAAAAGTGAGAAAGAGAGAGAGAGAGAGAAAAAGAAAAAGGAAACAGAAAAAAAATTTTATAAACCTCACCTTTGATCGTCGAGCGTTTTTCACGGCTCGACTTTATAGTGTTGTTTCACTTTTTTTTCGTCGAATGGATCCGTTATATCAAAAGTGCGAGTGAAAGGGCAGGACTGAGAGTGAAGGAAACAAGACAATATAAGTGAAATGAGAAAAAACAGGAAAAAAGAACGTATGGTAAGAGAAAAACAGAAAAAAGGAGAGTATATCAAAAAACAGGACAGAAAGAACGGAAGATATAAAGAGCGATCGCACAACAACTCTTATTTACTCTTCTCCAAAACTTCTTCCGTTTGTCAGAGGTTACAATCTTAATTGTAGTAAATAATAATTAGAGCGATCACTAATTCGGCTCCTGTATTGTAGAATAAAAAAAATTGATTGGCACTGTATTCTTCTTATTCCACAAAAAGTATGAATCATATGATCCACGTTCGCTACTACCTAACTATTTGTACAAAGTTCAATCGAATCGAATTCCTAACTCACGCCACACTTCGCAGCGTCACGATGAGTGAGAAATGCTGTAGTAGTACGTCTTACGTTACTACCATCGAAATTGTGATTTTTTACAGATCGTATCTGTTGTATATAGTTTTACGTTGTTGTCATTTGCGCGACCTTCTGAGAAACTTTGTAACTTTCGTCGGCTATTGTATTGTCGATAAAGTAGAGTTCGTATTAATTTGAAGATTTTTGTTTTATTTTTTGTTATTAATAGATTAATATTATACATCTTTAGATGTATCTTATCTACTGGGATAATTGTATTACTTTAAAAATGATACTGTATCTTTCGGTGTTTCTTTACCGATTGTTGATATTAATAAAACATAATATTTGTTTGACAAAATTGAGACTATATGAATGGTAATACGATCAAGGTTTTACGATTATATCATACCAGCACGTTATTGTGCTAGTTTTTTGATATCTTATTATATCGTGATGTAATACGAATATGTTCATTAAAGTTGTGTATAGGCAAAATAGATTCAATGTAATTGTCTGAATTGTAAATTAATTACTTATTGTATTTTAGATCACAATAAAACCATGAGTTATATTATAATATTTATTTATGTATATATATATATATATATATATATATATACATAATATATATATATATATATACATATATATATATATATAACTTTATATTTAATATTTACATCTGAAATATTTTTAAGGCTTCGTATAAATCGTATATATTTTTTGGATGGAATAAGAAGCTGATAGTAGTGTATATTAGTTTTTCTCATATACCTTTTTAAATACTATTAACAAGTCTTACACGATAATTTGAAAAAATCTCTTATTTTTTTTACTTTTATATATATATTTTACTATATATATAATTTTATTATATATAATGTATCTCCATTTGCAATTAATATTGGGTCGTTTAGAACGCTTGTAATTATTTTCAGATAAACAATATCTATTAGTAAAATTAAGGTTGCTGCATGTGACTTGATATTATATCACTTGTATTCCTCCTTGTAATTTTTTAAGTACCAAAAATTAATTCTACTAACATTCATTAAATTTTTCCATAATGATTAGAAATCTGTATTTGTCGCATCATATATAGAGCTCGTTGACATTATCCTGATATATATAACTATTTTTCAAATTAAAAATGTTAGGCTTGAAACTCTTATTAATTAGATTAATATTTTTAAAAGTATTCTTATTCCTAAAGCAAACATTATCGTACGTATATTATCATTGATTTTGGCACTCTACCCCTGAGGTTAAATATCACCCATCACATTTAACATTTATTAGTGGAAGCTTCTGTTTCATTAATTAAAGCTCACTGATATCACTTTTCGTACCACTAATAGGCTTATTTAATAGCATTCTGTGCAAATTCTCGCTAATATTGAGGTAGAGTCGATGAAATGACAAAGGAATAATGTTAAAATGATAATAAATGCATTTAACGTAATGCTTTATATCTATAAACCTAATATTATCTATTATTGAATATTAACAACCGACTAAGTAACAATCTTTTCAGAAGCGATAATTTCAAGGCTTCGTATTTTAATAATATACAAAAAAAGATTTGTGTTTCATAAGTGTATATTATTTTTTTCTTTTTTTTTTGTAACAATTAAGTCATCAAAATATGAGCCCTAATAATGTATTCGAAAAATAATTTTTTGAAATTTGCATAAAATATTTTCATTAATAATCGGACTTACGTTGAATCGAGTTATCGAGTTAAGTATTCAATTCATTTCTATTGTTATAATTTGTAAACATTTAAAATTTCGTAAACATAATTATTAATTATAATCTAATTAATAATTATCGTTTCAATTTTCTATGCGTCACTTCAATATTACGAACGATCTCGCTTAACGCATAAAAAACGTTTCCAGATTCTTAAAAAAATAAGTCCGACGAGGAGGTTTGATATAAATATTTAAAAGAAATTTGTGTATAAACTATGACAAAAACGTCCATCGACATAGTCGTTAACAACATTTACTGGACGTATTAATTTGCACATAAATATGCATTTAGTTTAACAAAATGAGATTCATTCGATTTCTTTGCCATCTCTCTTACTAGTAACACCTTGAATTACCTTTTTGATTTTCCTATTGCTTCATCCTACCACATTGGATAACTTAAGCGACTTACTCGAATTATAATTTATTTCGAGTTTTTCGTTTATTCTCCTACACTTCCGTCTTCTTTCCAAGGACAATATTTTTTAAATATTATCCGTTGTAAGATAAACATCTGTATGCACAGATTGTAGGTTAACAGTACGTATGATATTACGTTCGACATTATATAAATCTTCGTTCAACTAACGTGATTCTTGTTAGAGGTGTTCCGTTTCAAAAGCCATATTCTCTATACCGTTCGCTGCACAGCTTTCTTTTCTTTCACTAATACTTAGCACTTTCGTCGTCTTTTCATCCTGTTCCTCATCATTGCCTTTCGCCTTCGTTTCTCTTTCCATTATAAGCCGGTCTCTTCGATGTTCCGTGTAAAGCCATCTGATCGGATACAAATCCATGATGATTAATTATTTACGCATCGTTGCGCTGATATCTTATTATGCATGACGATGTATTTTTTGTAATAGTAAAATTTTCTTGTCGATTAATTTGAAAATTTATATATCAATATATAATATTTCAAGTTTTTCATGAATAAGAAAAAAAATCCGGATAATTAAAATAAATAAAATATATCATTAATATAAATCATACTCGACGAAAAGAAAATATAAATGTTGTTGAATGTAAAAAAAAAAAAGAAAAAAATAATAGAGACTTACAAGAAACCGAAAACAGCTGGTATCGTCATACAACCACCGACGATGAAAAACGCTCCCGGAAATGTGTTCATGGTCGCGGCGTAAATAGAACTATACATGGGCCCGTAAACCAATGGCATCAGTGACTCGGAAACTCCAAATAGCGAATTTACTTTGCCTGAAAATAATCACGAATTATTTGAATTTCATTTGGATCATGTTTGGTAAAGATATCGTTCGTAAATTCTTGAATATATTGAAAGGGTAGCGTGATCCTTTGGATCCGACACTCTATGATATTGTAAATTCTTCGGTTATTAGGGCAGGCAGGAAGACCTCATCAGACTTCGTTCACTATAAAGGAAAAGTTGGTGGGAAATAGCAGACAAGCGTGTTGGTACGTTGATAAAATCTTACGAGATTATCCGATTTACCCATTTCTAAGAACGTTCTTTGACGATATTTGAAGTGTTTCAAAATGATAATGATTAATGGCATTATACTTTCGATTGGATTCTTCATTTTTCTTTTTAGAAAAAAAAAAGAGAGAAAGAGAGAGAGAGAAGCTTTATACAATACGATATAATTAATGGCGAATGGGAATAAGAAAATTCAAATGTATTAGAAAGGAATGAAGAATAAAATTCTAAGTAAGAAATGCTTGTCTGAGCATTAAAAAACATCGTGTATATCATTTGTTCCGAGTTCTAAAATTTTTTTTATTAGGTACTTTGTTTTTTCTCGTTTTCTTTTTGTATCATCAAGAGATCTATAAACAGGAACTCGATAGTACGAAGTTTCCTAGTCATTAAAGTCAACCATGTGCATAAGTAAGGATTATCTTACCGGACAGTCCCTGTGTGTATATACATATGTACGTGTATATACTATGTACATACTTTATAATATACATATATTGTATACATGCATGTAATTTCTATCTACTATGTATTATACCGGTGAAAGTGACGTTTGTATATTTGAAACGACCAGGAAGCGATTGAATGTACATCATTCTACGTAACATCGCATGCTCGCAAGGTTGTATCATGTGAAAAGAGAAAGAAGAATGTATATACATTTACTTACCAAGTTCATCCGATGGGACTAGTTTCGAAGCGATAGATCGCATCGCGATGAACGATGTTCCATTAACTATTTCTACCAAAGCACCTAAAGAAAAAATAAAAATATTGATTAATTTTTATAGATTTACACGATTTTACACGATTTTATGTACCTAAATAAATCATCCAATCGGTTGTTGCAAAGGCATATACGAAACTTGCTAAAATTTTGCTCATGCAACTCATAATCCCTACTATGGCATCGTCCACTTTGAGTATATGACTGAAAACTCCAACGGATAGTGCAGTTCCTGAAAATTATAAATAGAATCTAATAACGTACCATATATATTTAAATTGTATAAAATCTAACGGACGTGATAATTATTCAAATATTTTTTCATAGATTATAAACGGAACACGTTAATGTACGTAAATAAATTCTTCATTTTAAAAACGTTGTTCTTTGGTACCTACATGGCTGCGATTCGTTCGAACGATAACTAATTGCAACTCGTTATTCTTCTTAACAACGTTGTCCGTTTCTTATGTAAGATCATCACTAGGTATCACTATGTATCGATGAATAACAGTGGAAAAACTTAAAATAATTCATAATCCACTTTATAGCCACGTTTAAAAGAGGTTTTTCATTAATTCACTTTAAACTATACTTTAGAATCTAGAATTGTTTTTTTATATGCACAGTAATGTGTTTCTTCAACAACGATCATTACTCTTTGAACTGTCTCAAAACTTTCCGTTTTTCCAATATGCCTGATCTATACTATTTATTTTCGTTTCTTTGTAATCATTTGTACGCATCAGAAAAAATATTTACTTATATTATGAATACAGATGAATAAATTACGGTAGTTATTACTGTTCTCCAAATGTAAAGATGAACATATGATTTAATTTAACATCTGAGTTTTGTTTTTCTTTAACGACAAATTTGTGATTTCTACTTATAAAAGAAAAAAAAAGATAAAAAAAGAAAATTAACATTTGCAACACATTCGTTTAACGGAATTCGATCTATTGGTATAAATAAATTTTAATTATCCCTGCTAATTAAATTGGAAATTAATGATAATGATTAATTATCAAGTTTTAATGAAGATGTCATTAACAAATTTGAAAAAAATCTTATTTCATCGCGAACACGTGATAAAATGTTCACGTGGACTAATTTATGATAAGAATTTAAATTTAATTTAATATTTCTCGCTCTCGTTCGTAAACAGGTATATATTATGAATAATTTATTAACTCCTTCGGACTCTCTTCTTATGTTATTATACTTTTGATTTTAAGTAATCCTATTATAAAGCTTTTTGAAATTTCTTCGTAAATGTTATGATAATAATATGCGTGAATTAATCGAAATGCAATTTGAATTATTTCTAATATCGAGTATATCTCGTTTGTACCGTTTGACTTACCAATAAGATTAGTCACCATGCCATACGTAGACCACATGCTAAATGTAACTTCGTTCCAATTGTATCGATATCTCATGTAAAGATACAGTACTGCCATCTCACCTAAAAACAGATTTATCGTATTTCATTGTAACATTATCTATGTATTTATAACATATAGTCCATTGCATTCGTCTGTACAATATCAT